AGCAATCTGGATCGCACTAGTATTATCACCATACAACTGCATAGGAACTTTGCAGTTAACTCCCAACTCCTTCAGCAATCTCTGCAGCCAAACCAGTTCAGAACTAACGTCTGACATCGAACGATACTCTGCTTCTGTTGATGACTTAGAGACCCGATCCTGCTTCTTACAGCGCCACGATACAAGTGACCTCCCTACTCTGACACACCAACCTGAGGTCGATTTTCGTGTGTCCGGGCATCCTGCATAGTCGGCGTCTGCAAAGGCCTCTAGGACTTCTTCACCCGTCGAAGGGAAAAATAGGCCAACGTCTTGCGTATGCTTGAGATATCGCAGGATTCTGTGAACTGCATCCAAGTGTTGGCTCCGTGCAACTCCCAGAAATTGACTCACCACCTGCACAGCATAAGAAATGTCGGGTCTAGTGTGAGTTAAATAAATCAAGCTTCCTACTAAGCTGCGATATAGAGACTGATCCTCCATTAAATCTCCACTGTCCCTAGTTAGCTTGAGATTCTGTTCCATTGGGGTTGTACACGGTTTGCAGTCTGTGTAGTGTGTCGTCTCAAGTAAATCTGCCATATATTTCTTCTGTGACACAAAGACTCCCTGTGAAGATCTTTGAACCTCCAAACCCAAAAAATATGACACATCACCAAGATCTTTCAGTTTAAATGCCCCATGAAGCGACCTTTTCAATTCCTGAATACCATCTGAATCACTCCCGGTGATTATCATATCATCGACATAAATCAACAGAACCACTACCCCATCAACTGTATTTCGAACAAATAATGATGGGTCATTCTGGCTCTGCTCAAAACCAAGCTGCACTATAACTCCATGAAATTTCTCAAACCAAGCACGAGGTGCTTGTTTGAGACCGTAAAGAGAACGAACTAGTTTACAAACCATGTCCGCCGAACCCTTGGTATATCCTGGTGGCCTCTCCATATATATGACTTCCTTTAAATCACCGTGCAAAAAAGCATTCTTCACATCCAGTTGAAACAGTGGCCAATTCCGCATTGCCGCAACTGCAAAGACACAACGAACGGTTTGCATCTTAACCACCGGGGCAAACGTCTCATTATAATCAATTCCATACTCCTGTAAGAATCCCCTGGCTACAACCCTGGCCTTAAACCTTTCGATCGTATCATCTGGGTTCATTTTAATATTATATACCCACTTACTGCTGATGACTGACATCTCTGGTGTTCTCGGTACCAACTCCCACGTATGATTGGCATCAAGCGCATTACTCTCCTCCTGCATTGCCTTTTCCCATTCTGGATGACCCACTGCTTGTGCATAAGTTGTTGGAATAAAGATTGGGGTGGTAGCATAACCCACGTAATCATGTAATCTCAAGGGAGGTTGTCCCAAGGTACTACGACTGGAGCGCCTAGGAACAACGACCCCATTATTCTGGTCATCTCCTTCTCCACTTGACACTTCAATGTCATCTGCTGGCCCATCCTCATCATTTGTCGGCAACATAGAAGAGGAGCTCGAGGAGGAACCTGACGAGCTTGAGCTGCTGCCCGTCGAGCTAGAGCTCGTTCCACTAGCCACATGAGAAGAAGATTCCCCTTCATGCGAGGATCTGGACGCCGACACCGAGGAAGACGAGGACGAGGTACCAGCTGGTGTCGAGGGAGTATGAGGGGCATCATCATCAGGCATCAAATTCCCTCCCTGACTCCCATGCTCACTCGACATCGTCATCTCCGCAAGGTCGGGCACAAACTTCAAAAACTCCAAAGATGCAGCATGTGATTGCTTGTCCTGGGAAGACATGGAATAGTACATGACATTGCTCAAGAAACAGCACATGATACGCAATTCGCATGCGCTTGCCGATCGGATCGTAACAACAATACCCTTTATGTTTTTCGATGTACCCAACGAAAACACATCTAACAGCCTTTGGAGAGAGCTTATGGCGTTCTGCCCGTGGCAAAAGAACAAAACATGTGCAGCCGAAAACCCTCAAACGAGAATAATCGGGCGGGCGATCAAAGAGCATCTGATACGGTGAAATTTGCCCCAATGTCGGAGTGATCTGTCTATTGATGAGATATATAACAGTATGAACTGCCTCAACCCAGTAGCCGCTAGGTACATGCGAGTGAAAAAGCAAAGCCCTCGTGAGTTCCAAGACATGTCTATGCTTCCTTTCGACAAGACCGTTTTGCTGAGAAACACCGGGACACGAAAGTTGAGTCAAAATGCCTTCAGACTTGTAGAAATCAAGTAACTCTTGCTTGATGAACTCCCCACCTGTATCTGAGCGAATAGTCTTAATGGTTTTCCCGAATTGTGTTTTGATCAGCTGAATAAACTCTTTAGCCAACAAACACAATTCCGATTTCCGTCGTAGGAAGTAAATCCAGGTATACCTCGTCTTGTGATCTACAAACAGAGCAAAGTAACGATACCCCATACGAGATGTAACTGGCGACGGACCCCATAAATCTGTATGAATTAAATCAAATGGTTCTGCATAAACTTTCTCACTTGACTCAAACGAGTTCTGAGAAGCTTTCGCTTCAATACAGCTCACACAATCCGACTGAGAGCCCACAGAATGCTCGAATTTCCCAGGTAATAAGTTCTGCCTAAACATCGTCAACAATCTAGCCGAATTGGGGTGACCCAACCGGCAATGCCACAAATCCCAAACTGAAATATTCTTATTCGAAAGCAAATCAACTGAATTAATAGATAAATCATCAACAGAATCCTTTGAAACCCCGAACAACCTCTCTGCGCTAGACTTTGTTGTCGTAACTGCCGCTGCCGAACTTTCCATGTGTGCATGCAGCCCATGCATACGTTCCCTCTCACCCACTGGACTTTCAGACCCCTTTGCAACTGCAGCTTCCTTCAGATCGTCCAGCACAAAGAGACGTCCCCGTTTACTTCCTGTCCCTATCACCGTCCCCGTCCTCTTGTCCTGTACCACACAACCATTTGAATTAAAAGTCACATTGCAACCTTCCTCAGTCAGCTGCCCAACCGAAACCAAACTAGGAAGAAGACCAGGAACGTATAGAGTATTCGGAAGGGTAATGGCAGGAGAGGAAATAGTGCCACGACCCTTAACCGCCACCTGATCACCATTTGCTACTCGAAGGTTCATACGAGCAGCAGGCTGCAGCTTATCAAAAATAGAACGAGCAGAGGTCATATGGTTAAACGCCGCCGAATCAATCAACCAACGAGGATACTTACCCGACGTGACACCCGTAGCAAAGGCAGAGTTCAGCGCCTCATTCAAAGCTTCTTGCACCATTTTACGGATCTGATCAGGAGTTAAGGAGGACCCTCCATTGTTTTGTGATGAGTTCCCATCAGCAGGATGAGAAGCTGTCACAACATAGGCTGCCTTTGCATCGCGCGACGACGCAGGACGAGAAGCTGAGGTCCCCGCGCCAGCTGCTCCGTGGTTGGGGAAGCGAATGGGTTTTCCTTGCCTGAGCAAGGTTGGGCATTCTAACACAATGTGTCCTGCCTTTTTACAATAATTGCAGTAGTTCCTTTTCCTACAATGAATTTGGACGTGGCCTGATTCTTGGCAATAATGGCAAACAACTTCACCCGAGCCTTGTTGGCCAAATTTAGGCCTAGTGGAGTTATTTGAACGTCCAACAGCAAAGGCTGATTCCGATGATCCATGATCAATTTGTGCTTGACTTTTGAGCCTAGTTTCTTCTCGAATCAGTTCAGCCACAACTTCCTCAAGATTGGTAACCCCTCTATGAATTAGTGAGGCTCGAATAGGCTCAAAATCAGACCTTAACTTCATCAAAAAATGCATGACACGAGTCCTTGTTCTTTCCTTCTGAATCTCGGCCGATGCATCCCCAGACAACAGCGAGGCTGTAACTAGGTCGTACTCGGTCCAGATGTGCAAGCAATGTTTATAATACCCTCGTACATCCCTATCACCTTGAGCAAGGCCAGCCATTTCCAATTCCAATTCATACAAACGAGAGGTATTTGCCTGAGAGTACGTACCGCAAATATGCTTCCACATCTCGTGAGCTGTCTCGAATCGACGGAGGCTTAGTGCAGTCTGCACATCCAGCGATCCCAGGAGAGCGGTCACAACCTGGGCGTTGAGAGCCGCCCAGTCATCCTTCTGTTGTTGGGTAGAATTCGCACCAGGTGCCTTCGATTCCCCCATCAAGACCGACGTTAATTTCCTACCTGCAATGTAGTTCCGAAATTGGAACTCCCACAAGGGAAAGTTTTTCCCATCAAACTTAGTTACGATCGTATCCGCCTTGTTCGAATCCATTCTCGCAAACACCAACCGGATCAGTGATCACCAACTGCGCAAGAACACACCTCACGAACAACGAACAAATCTTAGGACCCTCAGCTGCAACCTTCTTCTGTACGTGACTGCTGCTGCGATCCGCCTGCTGCGCCAAGATCACCAATCACAAAACCAATCAAGCCTTGAATCGACGTGGCTCTGATACCATGTCAAAGTAAAACGAGAACAATAACACTGGATTTAACGTGGTTTCCCTGAGTGTCAGGACTAGTCCACGGGAGAGCCTAAACCCTCCAAAGTCAATCTTATTACGTTAAGGAAGCAGCTGTACAAACAACTATTTATATAGAGGCCACGCTAAACCCTAATGACTAAGGCTGGTAAATTACACAAAGGTACCTAAATTTAACATACCATTCCCCATCCTCCCTGGTCTCTACCTTTTTTGCAAACAAAAATGAGCATCACGAGTTTGACGGGTCCAAGAGCCATGGAGTGAAGACCCAGAGGCAAAGATCGATTGCAGCGACGAAGAGGCCAACTGTGAAGAAATTGCACAGATTCAGGCCATGTGTGGTCACCATCCGTGAGATCCGAAAAGAAGACAAGCGGATGCAAGTGCTCTGGCTCAAATCCTCGGAGCTCCTTATCCCATATCCGATTCAAGGCCTTCATCCTTAACTGACATCGTAGTCACGGCGGTGCCAACATGATAAGCCGAGTCAAGAGAGGCGGTCAAACATCTAAGATCTACGCCATCTGTCAAAGAATTGTCAAGTCCCTCGTTGGTTACTATCAGAGTGTTGTCGACGAGCAGAGCAAAAGGGAGAAGAACGGTCACAGCAAGACCTACATCTTTATGGAGGCGAAGCCCGTCACCAGGTCCACCCGGTTGAGGTCACTCGCCACCAATGACGGCACTGCTCTTTCCTCTGTACTGGGTTCTTTCACCACCAAAGAGCCATGGAGTGAAGACAAAAATGAGCATCACGAGTTTGACGGGTCCAAGAGCCATGGAGTGAAGACCCAGAGGCAAAGATCGATTGCAGCGACGAAGAGGCCAACTGTGAAGAAATTGCACAGATTCAGGCCATGTGTGGTCACCATCCGTGAGATCCGAAAAGAAGACAAGCGGATGCAAGTGCTCTGGCTCAAATCCTCGGAGCTCCTTATCCCATATCCGATTCAAGGCCTTCATCCTTAACTGACATCGTAGTCACGGCGGTGCCAACATGATAAGCCGAGTCAAGAGAGGCGGTCAAACATCTAAGATCTACGCCATCTGTCAAAGAATTGTCAAGTCCCTCGTTGGTTACTATCAGAGTGTTGTCGACGAGCAGAGCAAAAGGGAGAAGAACGGTCACAGCAAGACCTACATCTTTATGGAGGCGAAGCCCGTCACCAGGTCCACCCGGTTGAGGTCACTCGCCACCAATGACGGCACTGCTCTTTCCTCTGTACTGGGTTCTTTCACCACCAAAGCACTCTGGTTTCGAGAGTTTAAGGCCCAGGATGATTACAGAGCAAGGTGAGTTCTTTGAACAGGAGTTTGAAATGAATTTGCTGAATGATGAAAAGAGAGTTGTTGAGACAATAGTTGAGAATCACGAAGGCTTTAGGAAATCTGTTGTGATGAAGTTGTCTATGAGTAGAATTGAGGCTTTGAAAGCAGTGATTGAGCAGAATTTTGATGAGAAGAATGTGATTGAAGTTGAGCAGAGTGGCCAGATTTGTTATTTGCAGGAAATCAAAAGATTGAGTGATTTTATGCTGAGTTTCATGACTGTGTGGGAAGGAGAAGCCACTGCTACCTCATGCACAACAAGAATCTCAACTTCTCATCTCTGAGTTTGACAAAGAAAAGCAACAAATAAAGAAGAAAGGCGCTGCAGCGCACAAAAAAAAAAAGGGAATTTGCAATCAGAATAGAAGAAGTAATTCAAAGGAGAAGATGTCAGATGTTCTGTTTCAGCAAGAGGAAAAGAAGGCAGTAGTCTGAGATGATGCAGCAGAGTGAGTTTGAAGTATTTTCTTTTTTGGAATGCTAGCTAGCTCAAAATCAGCAGCATCATATCATCATCAAGTCAAAGCATAGGGAAGTAGCCAACAATGCACTCCCTTGCTGATTTCTGTTCTTTTTCGGATGGAATGTTAGCTAGCAAAATCAGCAGCAACATATCCAGCCCATCTCTCATATGCTTGCTAGCTAAAGAAGCAGCAGCATATTCTTGTCATGTTGGAGAAGCAGTGGGAAGTAGCCAACAATGCACTCCCCTGCTGATTTTAGTCTGTTTGTGGATGGAATTCTAGCCAACACAAATAGCGGTAGCATATCTCTACCACTTTGAAGATCCATCTCAAGCAAACAAAAGCTGAAGATGTGAAAGTTTAGACAGCTAGCCATGATGCAGCAGCGATTTCATTTGAAGATCATCAGAGTGCTAGCTAGCAAAAGAAAAAGTAGCAGCATATCCCATCTTTGTTGGAGAAACTGAAGCTACAAAGCTGAAGTTGGGGGTTGAGTAGTTGAAGAAGAAGAATGGAAAGTTAGCTATCCAAAGATGCAACGACTTATCCGAGTTTTGGAGAAACTCAAGCTATAAGGCTGAGTTGGGGGTTGAGGAGTTGAAGAAGAAGAGAAGGTGAAGAAGAGAAGAAGAAGATGGAGATGGGATGCCAACTAGCCAAAGATGCATTGGTATCACCAGTTAAAGTAGAAGATTTCAGCTAGCTAGCCACAGATGCAGCAGCTTTTCAGAAGATGTTTGGGAAGTTAGCCAGCAAGATGCAACAGCTTCACCATTTGAAGATTGAAGGGAAGTTAGCTAGACAACAGTGCAACAAGATTCTCAAGTCAAGATTGTATTCTCTCCAAGCTTGGTGTGCACATTCTGTGCTCACCCGCTTGTGAGGGGGTATCAGGAGATATTTCAAGTTATCGTCAAGACTCAAACCGGCGACCATGAATGTCAAAGTGGATTGACAAGGTTTAGAGGAAATCATCATCATCAAGTTTAGTTTAATGTCAATATGTGTTTAGACTTTAGTTTGAGTTAATGTTTTATCTTTGTAGTCTCTAAATGCTAGCTGGCACATGTTGTCTTGTAGTCAAAGCTTTTGCCTATTTAAACCCAAGCATGAATGAGAAACACCAAAGAGTTCTAGGGTTTCTTTTTCCACAACTCAACTTTGTTGTTAGAGTCTCACCACCTAAATTTGATCCATCTACAGACTCCATCAATGGAGGCTCTCTTCTCTGCGCTAGTTGGAGATCACATCTCCTCATTCAAACGCCCTTACAAGTTGGCGACTATTCGTCAGTTTGGATTAGAGATATTGAAATCGATCGTATTACGTGTTCACTATAATGACGTGGGTGGTTGTATGTTGCATTCCCACGTCAGCGTCGTAGTTGTGTCCTATAAATCAATGTTGTCAGAACCGAACCGGAGCATGATCCGGTAATGCGAATGGCTCGCACTTTAGTGGTCCAACCGGCATTAGACCGTTTATAAACCGTTAGAGAAATGGAAATAAGGATTCAGTTTGAGAGCCCGACGTTTTTGGTTTATTTCAATTTTCTACAATTTTTTAATTAAATTTAACGGCTGAATGGAAAAAACAGGACGAGCGGCTCGATCGGCTCGAGCGGTTAACCGCCCAGCCGCTCTTCAACCGCTACATAAACTGGAGCGACTTTTAGACTGTTCTGAGCCGATTTTGTGAGCGGGTGGCGGTTTTACCGGTCGAACCGAGCGGCTCGGCTCTGCTTTAATAACACTGCTATAAATAGCTAAGCTGTCGAGAGTTTGGGGTAAGCTAGCAATGCCAAGTCTCTAATAAAGCGTCAAGTCGTGAGCTCGGTTGAGCTCACCGTGGATTAGTCCTGTTCACGTCGAACATTGATACCACGTAAAATTCTTGTGTCGTGCGTTTGTCAATTACGCGAGTGTGGAATTTTTCATGGTATCAGAGCCTTGCTCCTAATCAAGATTTGGCTTCCGTCTTCTCTATCCCTAGTCTTCGATTTTTGATTTCTTGGTTGTTCATCCACATCGCACGAGCATGTGAGACGAGAGCTCGGCCATTGAGGAGAAGAAACCAGCGGTCGATGATGGGGAGGTAATTGGTCCAACGTCTTCTTTGTTCTTGCATCCGTCCGATTCTCCCAGTCAAGTCTTCGTTGGAGATATTCTCACCTATTTGAATTACGGCAAGTGGTCTGCAGAGATATCCAACGCGCTCATCGCTAAGAATAAATTTGGGTTTGTTCTTGGCACAATTTCGCGACCTGTGTCAGGCGAGCATTTGAATGTGTGGACAAGATGCAACGCCATGGTAGTTGGTTGGCTTCATCAAGCTATGACAAGGGAGATCCGCAACAGCTTGATCACCGATTTTACTGCGAAACTGACTTGGGACGAACTTCGAGAATGTTTCAGTACTGGTTCCCTCCCTCGTCGATATAAAATCAGGCGTCAAATTACTGCTTTTCGTCAAGATAGGTCAAGTGTTTTTGCGTTCTATGCTAAACTCAAGCGCTTATGGGGCGACTGGCCATCACTTGATCCGCCAGCCAAGTGCACCTGTGGGCGATGCACATGTATCGTTGAGCAGCGGACGAGAGAGTCCCATGATTCGATGAGACTTCTTGATTTTTTGGTTTGCTTTGATGACAATTTTTCCACAGTTCCCACTCATCTTTTGTCATTGGAGCTGCCACCAAGTCTAGGAGAAGCATATCATGCAGTGGCTAATGATGAGCAACAGTAGAACATTACCCATGATTCTCGTCCCCGTGTAGAGGTCGCGGCATTCCAAGGTCAGGGGGAGCTCACAAACTCGGAAGATAGAACTCAAGATGGTCGTCCAAAATGCACCCACTGTGGTAAAATTGGGCATTTGTGTGAATCATGTTTTGATATAATTGGATGGCGGCCACCGAAATTTGGAGAGAAAGGGTAGAGGTCGCGTCGTCACAACCATTCTCAACACCAACGACAACACCCATAAGCGGCCGCCGTGGAGAGCTTCAAACTCAGCATTCCTGGACTCATAGCTGAACAAGTAGCTCAACTCAAAGCCTTCCTCAATTCTGAACTCAAGGCAACCACGACTCCCTCATCTCAACCGAAAGCAAACATGTCAGGTGCGTTTTCTTCTCCACCGTCTAATGTCTGGGTAATTGATTCCGGTTGTAATGAGTATATTGTTAAGAACATTTCATTGTTTGATGGCGAGTTTGCACAAAGCTCGGCCCTACAGGTCTGTATCCCGAGTGGGACAGGTATTCCAGTTCGTGGCATAGGCCATACGACGCTGGCTTATGGTTTAGTTCTTCAGCGTGTCTAGCATGTTCCTGAATTTCAGTGCAACCTGTTGTCCTTCAGTCGTCGCACGACATATCATTCAGTCGCTGTGATATTTCTTAGTAATTTCTATCTCATTCAGAATTTAAGATCGAAAGCGATGGTTGGTACGGGTAAGCATGTGGATGAATTATACTACTTAAGAATCTTCGATACCATTCATCTTGTGGCCTTCGCAGCGCCACAAGCAGTTTGAGACTCTGGCACTTTGGCATGCACGGCTTGGTCACCCGTCAACAACCAAGCTTAATGTTTTGCAACCATATATTTCCAGCACTTTAGTAGCTAGCAAGGACCCGTGTTTGTCATTTTTTAGGGCTAAACAAACTCGTATTCCCTTTGTTGCTAGCAGTATATAGACAAAGTCATGTTTTGAACTTATTCATATCGACATTTGTGGTGGATATAATCAAGCATCATTGACATATGCTCATTATTTTCTCCAATTGCGGATGACTTTAGCGATGTATTTGGGTTTATTTGTTGCAAGCAAAGTTCGAAGTTGCTCGGTATCTACTACTTTTTTGTAATCAAGTTCGTGCACAGTATGACAATCAAGTCAAGCACATTCAGAGTGATAACAGGCGCGAGTTCTTAGTGCCCGAATTGTGAGATTACTACGAGAAGGAAGGGATAGTTCATCAGACGACCTGCACAGATACTCCACAGCAAAATGGTGTTGTGGAGTGCAAACATCGTCATCTTTTGGACAATGAGAGAGCACTTTGATTCCATGTCGGGTTGCCGATCCATTTTTGGGGTGAGTGTGTGCTTACTACGTCATACCCGATTAACCGCATGCCTCTCACGTCTATTCAGAATAAAACCCTTATGAGGTCTTGCTTGGAATGGTACCGAATTATGATCATCTCAAGAAATTTGATTGCTTGGTCTATACAAAAGACACTCATCCTAGCCTCTCCAAGTTTGCGGCAAGGGGTAGGCCTACAATTTTTGCCGGATATCCCATCGCACAGCATGGCTACCGGGTCTTCGATATAGATCGTCATGTGATATATACCTCCAGAGATGTCTTCTTCTTGGAGGATGTTTGTCCATTCCATAAGTTTAATCCTGCTGATGTGCCTTCTGTCGACGAGTTCTTCTCTACCTCTACATCAACTGAACGTCATGTCACTAGTCCGGCCGATAGCGCCGACCAA